TGGCAGGGGACCTCCTGCATCTCCCCCAAGACAGCCCAGGGCAAGCACAGCTCAAGGGTCCCCAGAATGGCAGAGGGACATCCCTCAGGGCAGTGCCACAGCAGTGACCTACAGAAGGTGTGGGTGGTTCAAACGGCATCAAGGACATGTCCCCTCCCCAGGCAAAGGGCGCTGGGGGGGAACGGCAGCAGGACTAGGATGGGGAACAGGAAGAGTGGTTACAGGTGAAGGCACGGGAGCCCCGGGCTGGATGCCACGGTGTTCAGAAGAGGCTGCCTGCAAGCAGCCGCCGCTTCTCCTCCCTCCAGAGCAGGTCCCGCTCCCGGTTCGCCCTCTGCATAAAGCCCCTGTTCTCCTGGGCCCTCCGGGACAGGTAGGGCAGCACCTCGTTCACTGGGCCGTAGGGCACGTACTTGTAGACGGGGAAGCCAGCCTGACCTGGAAGGAGAGAGGCAGGTCAGGGAAGTGGTAAGAAAAAGAATGGAAAAACAAAAGGAAAAGAGGAAAAAAAAAAATAAAGGAAAAATAAAAAAGGAAAGTCCCCAGGGAGAAGCGCCCCCCCCTTGCCCAGCTCTCCCGCTCCCCCAGGGCTGTGCCGATGCAGCGAGGAGGGCGGGCGGCTGGGGGGCTGGAACGCGCCGGGGGGAGCGGGCTGAGGTCACCGGGAGCCCTGGGAACGGCGGCAGCAAGGGCTGGGCCAATTCAAGCAGCATTCAACCAGAAACAGCGAGTTAACACATTTTTCCAGCATGACCAGAGGAAGTTGCATACAGGCAGCCAAACCCCGCTCGCGAGGGGAACTCCAGGACAGAGCAGCATCCACGCTGGACAGCCGCCCAGTCTGCCTCCCGCTGCTCTCCTGGCCTCGGGTCTCCACTCCGGACACCGGTGCGGGTGGGGGATCAGTCCCTGACCTGCACCGGGCTACCTGGACACTTGCAGGTCCCTCTGTCCAGGCCTGTAGGAGCTCTGCTCCGCTGCCTGGGCCAGCGGCAGAGGAGAGGACAAGGTCAGGCAAGAGTCCGCTGCCAGCCTGAGCACAGCGACGCTCCCAGACGAGAGGGGTCTGCTGGCTGCCAGGACCCGTTTCTGCCACATCGAGGAGCACCCTGATCTCAGCTCTTGGTCC